TCTGATGTAAACTAATACCAATTATGATCTTTGTGCGCCTGGGATAAGGTGGTTCAAGGTCAAGCAATTAGTTCAGTTTGGTCAATAGTTTTAGAATTGTTGTGGAGGAACTAAACAGTTATTAGAATGGAGAGGATGGGGAGGTTTGGAGATTAGTAGAAAGTTTATGAGGTAAACTACGGTGGTGAAAACATAAATCAAATGGGTACGTGGAATGAATGCATAAGACATGAGAGAAACTAATTTCAAGAATTTGTCAATCATGTCTTTCAAAGTATCCAATAATGCATCGAGAGCTTGATAATTTCCGCCATTGTTGGAAAATAGGATGAAGATTTTGCAATCAAAGCATTTTTTCTACTAAGACATTAAAGTTGATCAAGACACCATTTACATGAGATTTTTGCTTAAGTGAATGGTACAAAAACTATTTAGTATAGCGATCGACAAAAAATTTCTAAAAAAAAGTTAATATACTTGAAGTCATTGTAGAATGATATAGGTGAGGTTCACACATCTAAAAATAATAAGCCCATAATAATGAGTATGATAAGCCAACTTTATATTGGGAAACAATATATCTGAGAATTATAATTGCCGAATGGCCTAATTGATAGTCAGTTAAATGCAGCGATCTTGACACTAATAAAGGTAAAAAGTGGAGGAGACTTGTATGCAAACATACTAGTCATGCATAGGATTTCCCCATCAAAAGGAGTGCCCTAATGAGCAGATCATTCGCATGAAAAGCAATGGGTAGGAACACGATAGACACAGAGCAGAATGACATAATTGATATATAACATAATTGATATATGAAATTAGGGTTTTGTCTAATGCTAGATAGATGAAGGACATTATTTAAGGTACAAAAACACAAGAAATTGAGGTTGAACAAATGAGACCAATTTAGTTTATGAGTAAACTCATGCTTTCCCCAATTATAATGTGATTAAGGCCACCATATAAAGTATGAGGTCAGAGATCACTCAACTCAATAGTGATGTGGTGAGAAGCACTATAGTCTACTAGCTATGTGAGAGTGATCAAAGTGTTGTTGGCAACATAATGGGCGTAGTTGCCATAATATAAGTGAGCAAGATCCTAAGAGCAAGGTGCTGATGAGCAAAATCTAGTGGTGGTTGGAAAGAAATCGTTCGAAAAGTGGGGCACTGTTTGACCATGTGATTCTGAATGGCACATGTTTGACAATCACCAAGGTATGGAAAAAGAATTGGACATAAACATATAGAATTCTAACATGCCATGATCGTTATTTTTAGTAGGCAAAAAGAGGCAGTAAGCAAGAGCTTGGCAAGATATTTAGCATGGTGTAATATAAGGCTCTTATTGGCTAAGAGCAAGGTGCTGATGAGCAAAATCTAGTGGTGGTTGGAAAGAAATCGATCAAAAAGTAAGGCACTGTTTGACCATGTGATTCTGAATGTCACATGCTTGACAATCACCAAGGTATGGAAAAAGAATTGGACATAAACATATAGAATTCTAACGTGCCATGATAGTTATTTTGAGTAGGCAAAAAGAGGCAGTAAGCAAGTGCTTGGCAAGATATTTAGCATGGTGTAATATAAGGCTCTTATTGGCTATAATTTTACCATAAATCAATCTAGGCCAACTAAATCCATATCAAACAAATACTTAAGAAAAAGTTTGAGAAACAATAGAACAAATTAGATGATTACAACTAATGCGTTTTTTCTTTACGAACATACTAATCAATTTCAGAGCTTTGGTTCAAAGCAAAGCATAAATACACACCAAAGGCAGTAATGAAGCTTCATGCCAATGGAGAAAAGAGTTTTTGGGAAGCATCTGTTACATTTTTGTCCATTTCCACATCCAAGTGTTACTGATGCTGCTGAGGTGCTTACACCTTTCTTTAGGAATGAAACTTAAATCCTAACTGTAACCAAACAGCTCCTAAGTTGCAGAGTTGCAAGCTGATATATTCTTATAGAAACAGATTGGAATGTGCTGAACTAATCACGCATAAAAAAACGCAACACAAGCAATATCAAAACAACATCTTTGATATTAATCCATTAGAAGATTTGGAGCAAATCATCAGTCATGGTATGGATTTAGTCAAAAGAATTTATATAATCAAGCGCCCAAAACTTCCTCGTTATCTATAAAAAAAAAACAGGCAAAAACAAAACAGACAAAAAAGTTGCAGTTTGCGAAAAATAAAAATAAAAAAGAAAGAGATCATTGGAGTGAAGTAGGAATCAAGGCCTGAGTACCCACCCCAAAGACACCTTCTCTTCTAATCACAAACTCGCAAGAACCTTCCGGCAAATGCGGTGCGAATACCACCTGCAATTTCCGCTGCAGGTTCGCGCACCCGTCAGTATCCCCATTTCCATCCTCCGGAGATCTCGAGAGGAATAGCCGCATATTGACACAATTGGACCAAGCGAGTCCCATCGCCGGACAAACCTTCCTCCCCGAAGAAGATAGACTCAGGTAATTGCCTACCCGTAGATCACTGAACCCACCGTCGACGACATCGACGACGTGGTTGGTAACGATGACGGCAAGATTGAACCTTCTCGCCTGCTCCTTGAGCTTAGCGGCGACGGTAAATAGCTCGGGAGAGCGACGAACAGCATCTTCTGCATCGGTATGGAAGACGGCGGCGGCGGAGTCGAGGACGAGAATTCGTACGCGTCGGCCGGAAGAGAGGCGGACGAGGGAGAGCAGCTTGTCGACATGATTGAGAAGACCAAATAGCTCCTTGGAAGAGAAGGCTGAGCGGACGAAGATGTGGTCGAGGGGAGCGGTGTCGGAGGAGAGGGAGAGGAGGCGACGGAGAGGAAAGGGGGGTTCGGTGGAAATAAAGAGAGAAGCGGAAGGTGTGCAAGAGCGAGGGGATGCGGCGGAGAGGACGATCTGAAGACAGAGCTGAGTTTTGCCGGAGGAAGCTTCGCCGGCGAGCTCGGTGACGAAGCCGAAGGGGATGCCGCCGCCCAGAAAGCGGTCCAGAACAGGGCAGCCGACGCTCAATTTCTCGGCCGGAAGGTGAACCGGGTTCTCTGGCATTATGGGCATTGTTTTCTTTTTATTTTAGCTTCTTGCGGAGGAGACTAAATGCAGTGAACTATTACCGCTTAAAGTTTTAAAAGAGTTGGAGGGAAACTCATTTATAACATACTTATTTCATTATTATCTCCCATTTTTTATATATTTATGCATTTACCTCCTCAACTTTTCCTTTTACATTACAGTCCAAATCTAGGGGTGGTTAGGGCTTTCAAAACGGCTCTTCGTTCTCGAACAGCTCGTGTTCGGCTAGTTCGCTAAGTTAACGAGGCTGAACATAAACAAAAATTTGTTCGTCCGTATTCAGCTCGTTTTGACTCGAAATATTACTTATCTATATTGATGAGTATTAGTTTTTAAAAAATTAATTGACTAGAAGGCTTCAAAGATTTATAATCAATTAAAAATATTAATTAAGAAAATAGAATAAATGTTATTAAATTAGATTCAAATGATATTTTAATATAAACAATAATTTTTAAATCTTGCCCCAACCTTTTACATATCATGGCTACATGATCAGGGTTATCAGAACAACTTTTTATTCGTGAATAGCTCGTGTTCGACTTGCTAAACAAACGAGCTCAACATGAACACATATTTTGGGCTCGAAATATAAACGAGTCGAGCACGAGCTGATATGGGCTCACCAGCTCATTTACTCCCCTAATGGCGGCATTTTTTTTGTCAAAATCGAACAAACTTGATTTATTTTTAAAAATGCATTTTGTTTTTTTTTTTTTAACCTATAAATTTGAAATTTGGCATTAGGTTACAAATGTAATAAATAATTCTTATGTTTGATTTTTTTTGTTTACATTATTTCACAATATTTCTTAA